CTGTATGAGATGGTGACTAGCCGGGAGAGTTTAGAGAACAGACGATTCCTTGCTGCCACAAAAAGGCTAAAAGCCAAAGGCTCCCGCTCAAGAGGATTTAACATCCTGGGATGCATTCAGCGACAGATGGCTCGAGTTCTGGCGCTTGATTTCCAATTAGACTGTCTTGATTACGAGTCTGAGAATTGGTACCATGCAGATCTCGACTTCGAGACTTTCAAATTGCTTCAGGTATGTATCTTCTCTTTCCTTTTTGGAGGCCGTAAAATGCTCGAGGATCATTGGTGCATCTGATGCCATTGTCATTTCTTTCAGGAAGAAAAGGGTGAAAGCTTCTTCACGTTTGCGAGAGATATGACTGTTAGATCCACGAAAGCCATGATTCAAACTGTTTCAATTCCAGAAGGCCTTGGTCCCTGGAGATCCAAGCTTTTGTGGGCCGCACGTGTGCTTCCGATGCCACTTGTTGGCCTTCTCATTATCGGAGGTGTTTGTGCAGACGCGGGCAGTCAGCAGTCGGAATTTCCAGAACTAGAAGCCTTGTCTAGGCTTGATTTGGTGCTGCGATGAAGGTCTTCTTGGCCAAGAGGCTAACATCTGAGTAAATATTTTCCATGAGTTTCACTTTCCGTCACTTGGTCTGTATGTACGGATTTTCATAACTGATCAAACCAATTGTCAATTGGGTTTTTAATCTCAAGGGGTGCTGTGAATTGGTGCTAAATTTTGAGTAGGAAAGTTGTTAGCGTGCAGGAAACTCAAAACTAACACGCATGTATTACTTGGTTAAGATTCACGCAGGCTACAGCCGATGTAGAAGAGAGCTCTGTGATTATTGGTGAGAGAAACAGAGCTGCCATAGATGCTCTCCGAAAAGCAATCGACAGCGGGAGCAACAAGATTGCAATACTATACGGAGGGGGTCACATGCCAGACCTGGGGAGACGATTGCAAGAGTTGGAGCTCATCCCTACTGAGGCACAATGGGTTTCCGCATGGTCCATAAGGAAGCAGGATATGGAGAGAAGTTCCCTTCCATTTCTGAAGAAGATGGCGGAAGTATCAGGTTGGCCCTTGAACCGCTACCAGACTTTGGCATTGCTCATATTTTCCACGGTACTTGCACTGGATCTATGGTTTTGGGAGCTCTTTTTCGGCACCGCTGTGAACTGGACGTACCAACTTGCTTCACAAGTTACTGAATATATCGACAGTGCAGGGATGAACTTGTAGAAATAGTCTCCGAATCCCATTGCCCTGATTCTTTATATGTAAATACAGTAAAAATCTCTGATTGATATACTGTACTGTTTGGCCAGGCCATTACTGTATGTAAAGAGCAAACCTCAGACTGGCCAACTCCAACCAATTTTAATGGAAATTAAGAACAGTTATACATCATTTGCTGTAATTCTTTCGGTTTCGGTCGCGGTTTCAGGTTCACAGTTTCAAGCGCACAAAAAACCATTCTAACCATCCATATCCATTGTTCTTGATGGATTACGAAAATTTACAAACCAGAACTATTGCTGAAATGTAAACACAAAGATCTAGCTTATCATTCATAGCCAAAACTCTGATGGAAGCTCATGATCTACTTAAAACGACGAAGACGACACCGAGGCTCTCTTCTTTCTTGGAGCAGCCTCAGTACCTGCGATTCACAAACACCACAGAAAAATTCTTAAACTGGAAAATCACGACCACAATCACATAAAATTAAAAATTCTCGTCGCAGGATGTCCCTTTTTTAAGCTGATTAGTGGAGGCAACGAAGGATGATGACATTTTCGGATGCGGCTGGAAGGGAAGCCGCAGGAGGCGCAGCGGCTCTTCCGGAGGTGAAAGCTCCGCCGCCCGCACCGCACGCACAGCGTGTGGGTCTTGTTCCTCCTTTTCCCGAAGCTCGCCGTGCCTTTGCTCTGTTTAGTTCCACAGAAAAACAGAGGAAAATCAAACAAAGTACATCGAAAAGTTTCAATATTTATGGAAAACAAAATAATTTTCATACGTAATATCAAATTAGTAACAGAAAAACTCACCATTTTTGGTAATTGGAGAATTTTGAAGCTTATCGCAGTGGGAGGCTGAGCTATGGAGTTTTGTGCTTCACAGTTCAAAGCTTGGCGGTGAAGTTCGGTTTCTTATGCTTTGAATTTTTGTTTACGAAAATGCCCTCACCGTGATACTAAATTACTTGATGGAATGGCGCGGTTTTAGCATGACAGCATCAGGCAATGCACTGTAAATTTGTCTTTTCAGTTTGGCTTTAAATTGTCAATTTTGTTCAAATAAAAGGGTTATTTTTTTTTCTTTTTTATTTTTTTTTAATAGATTGAAGCGACTTGTTTTTCAAGTAATTAACATCATTTACACTTGTATTTGAAGTTGAAGTTTTGTGTTATGCTCCTTTTTGTTAGCTATCACTTGTCTAATAAAATAAAACAATAAGGTTGGATCGTGTGACGATTTAGTTCTTCCTTTTTTATTTTATTTTTTATTGACTGAGTGACTAGTATTATATATTATTAAATTTTTATCAAGAACGGATGGTTGACATGGTGCTGATAGCATGCTAAAAGTAAAATGTATCAACTTTTCACAATGGAGATGTATGTCACTACAAATATCGACATCATTAACAAAGGTAGACATCATATACACAGCATTTTCGAAAAAATGCCAAGCAAATGATGGATGTCATAGCACATGGTCCAAATGCTCCAAGCACATGTCGATTCACTCTTTGATTTGAAATACGGAGGAATATTCCTCTACTATTTGTGTTCACACACATATTTTATCTTTATTTACTAGTCACTCTCGATCGAATTCTGATGCAGGTTGATTTCTTATCACTTTTTCTTCCAAAACCTACATGAGAATATGCTTAAAGGTAGCGTTTTTCACACTATGATTTTCTCTTTCGTTTTATTTTCACTCTTTCAATTCAACAGCTAAAAAGAAGGCAAGCGGATAAAAGAGAAGTGCAGAAATTTTTATCTTTGATAAAACTAGTATTCATCACTGAATGATGGAAGTCTACTGTAAGAACTTACCACATCATTCTACTTAATGTTACTTGATCATAGATTAGATGATTATATTCTAATGCAGTATCATAACCAAATTACAGGTGCGGTAGGCCCTACGGTCACACACTTGTTTAACTTTCATACATAATGAAGTTGGAGTCATAGAATGATAATGATTTATATGAAATGACAACGTCAAATAACAATATTTTAAAATAATCACGTAATATCAAATAAAAAAAATTAAAATACAGGACATTATTTTATCATCCGGATGACCTCTCTAATGCCAAAATTGGGATTCACAATAATGATCCAGAAAATCTTCTTGGCAATTTTTTTTTAAGGGAAAATTAGAACCCCTACAACTTTTTTATATCTTTTAGACTAAACATTTGTGCCTTTTTAAAATTTGATTAAAGTGCTTTGACTAATAGACACCTCACAATTTTCTGTTAAATTAAATTACATATCATTATTGTATTTTCTTAAAATAAAATGTTAATTATTAATTTCTAAATTATCCTCTTATGTTTTTTATACGTTTTTCCCCTTATTTAGTGGAGTATTAGTTATTAACTCTATTATCCCTTTTTCCAATTATAATTTTTTGATCAAAATAATTTTTTTGTTCTACAAACATTAATATTATCTATTTTTGTCAAATGGTTCGTTTTATTGATTTTTTTTTTCCAAATGGTTGGCGATCCAACAAAGCACTGTGTAATTTTTCAAACTATTTTTCTTTGTTTTTTATTTTTTATTTTTTATTTTTACTTATAGTTGTTGACAAACTATTATTAGGTACAACATATTATGTGTATACTGCCGTTAGGTACGTTTTCATTTGTAAAAAACATTGATTGGTACGTTTATTTGCAGTTTTGGTACGTTTGATTTGGTACATATTGTTGATATTGGTATATTACTTTTGATTTTGGTACGTTTGATTTCATACACTTTATTTATTGGTACGTTTATATTGTTGTTAGTCCTATTTTCTCTTAATGTATTGATATAAAAAATTATATTGGTACATTTAATTTTGTGAGATCTAAAAATATTTTCAACCCTTTTGGGAATAAAATATTAAATCGTAGATAATCATTGCTAAATTGTAGGAAGCATTGTGAAAATAAATTGTATTTAACTAGGGTTTTTTTGTTTACAATTATCTCCAAAGGGGGAGAAGGTAATCAAAATGCTAGATTATAGGAAGTTTGGTTCAATACGCTGTGCACTTTTTTGGCGTGAGATTAAGAAATATGGAGTAGTGGCAGATCATGTAATTTTGGTATAAAAAAATGATTAATTCTAATATATGTGGCAACAAAATGATGAGAAGAAGAGTTTAATCAAATCTCTAAAAGGTATAACTGTTTAGTCTATAAAATTAAAAAATAAGGCACCTATATCAAAACGTCCATTTTTTTAATTTGTTATATTATCTATAAAATATGAAACAAAACACATATGCTTAATCTTAAATTTGTTACATTATCTGTGAGATATGAAACAAAACGCATACTGTATTTGCTGCGTGGCTGTGCTGGCTTGGTCCAACTCGAGGAAGCAGAGTCTATTCGTTTCAGACCCACCATTTTGGCAGCATACGGTACAGGCGTGTGGAGACAGCGTGTCCAGTCCCACTTTCACAAAAGCACCTTTTTTCAAAAGCACTTATTATCATTCCTTTTCTAATATTACCATTTTACTATTAGGTTAGAGTAAATATAGTAAATATGATAGCAAATTCGTTAGCTGATTTACGACATATTTAACTCGACTTTGTGTCTAATTATCTAATTTTGCCTATATGTGGCTGTGGAGATTTGTTATGTTGTTTGGAATATCAGAATCCGTCGAGCATCTTCTTTGTAATTTTTTTCTGACATAAAAAACAAACAAAAAAAAAATGTTGTCTTTTACCTTAATACCGTATATAAAAAATTCCATACACATCCCCTTATTCAAACGTGTATATCTTCTTCCAAATTAGATTGCCATTTGCTCCTGCTATGGAGCCAAGTAAGAAGGACCACCTCCATCCTCTGCTTGCTGATGATTCAGAATCTTCATCGCAGGCAGATCATCGATGTGAACCCGGAAAGCCGAAAGCACCGGAAGTTCATACGCAGCCCGGTCTCAACAAATATGCTCTTGCCGGTGCTATATTGGCTTCCACAAACTCTGTTCTATTGGGCTATGGTAACTAGTTACCCTCAATTCCTTAAAAATTTCCTCTAAATTTGAAAATACCACCTTATTTTTTCCTACGTAATCATGGAAATGATTATCAAACAAATACAATTTAACACATTTGTAGAAGTTTTCTTTTTCGTGTTTTTATGAGTTATTTTTGTACATGTCAAATTGTGATTTGTAGGAATGATAACAAAAAATGCGCTTTGAATTATGTTACACAAAATTAATAACTAAAGGATGATTATATTTAGGGTTTTTGTTGTTTGCTAAGAACTTTTCTGTTTGTAGATATTGGGGTGATGAGTGGAGCTTCTCTTTTTATCAGAGAGGACTTCAATCTTTCATCAACGCAAGTAGAAATCTTGGTTGGTTCTCTAAATGTATGTTCATTGATCGGATCACTTGCCTCCGGCAAGACGTCGGATATTATCGGCAGGCGTTACACTATAGTCCTGGCTGCGTTAACATTTTTAATAGGTGCACTTCTAATGGGACTAGCACCATCCTTCCCATTTCTCTTAGCCGGTAGACTTGTGGCCGGAATCGGAGTAGGCTACTCCCTCATGATTGCCCCAGTTTACGTAGCCGAGCTCTCGCCAGCCCTCACCCGAGGGTTTCTCACCTCTCTCCCGGAGGTGTTCATCAACGGCGGAATACTGCTCGGGTATATCTCCAACTATGCTTTATCAGGCATCCCACAAAACATGAATTGGAGACTTATGCTTGGACTTGCAGCTTTGCCTGCTATTGCTGTTGCATTGGGTGTGCTAGCAATGCCTGAGTCCCCTAGGTATTTTCTTAGTTAATATGTTTTTTTTTTTTTTTTTTTTTTTGAGTACAATATGTTTCGTATTTTTAAACCTTGATAGTTCCACTGGTATCGATGATACTTCTATTTTTTGATACAACGATATTTTACTCTGCATAGATGGTTGGTCATGAAAGGCCGGCTTGACGAAGCGACGCAGGTTTTGATAAGAACATCTGAAACCAAAGAGGAAGCTGAATTGAGGCTCAAAGAGATAGCAAAAGCTGCCTCGTTGTTGCATGCTAGTACCTCTTCAAACAACTGGCATGGACAAGGGGTGTGGAGAGAGTTACTAGTGAGGCCCACGAAGCCGATCCGCCGCATTCTAATAGCTGCCATCGGAGTCAACTTCTTCATGCAAGCCTCAGGCAATGACGCGGTCGTGTACTATAGCCCAGAGGTATTCCGAGACGCCGGAATTCACAACAAGAGGCATCTTGTGGGTGTCACAATCCTCATGGGCATTGCCAAGACTTTCTTTGTTTTGGTTTCGGCACTCTTCCTGGACCGGTACGGACGACGACCCCTTTTGCTGTTAGGCTCTTTCGGCATGGCGATCTCATTGGCGGCTTTGGGATTTGGGTCCAAGTTTCTTGAGTACTCGAGTGAGAGGCCTGAATGGGCTATTGCGCTTTGTGTGATGGCTGTTTGTTCTGCGGCTTCTTTCTTCTCGATTGGCCTTGGGCCCATCACATGGGTATATTCGTCGGAAATATTTCCCATGAGGTTGAGGGCCCAAGGCTCGAGCTTGGCCATCGGAGTGAACAGATTGGTGAGTGGGTTAGTGGCCATGACATTTCTGAGCATTTCTAGGGAGATTACATTCGGAGGGATGTTTTTTGCGCTTGCAGGAGTAATGTTGGTTGGCACTATTTTCTTTTACATCAATTTGCCAGAAACCAAAGGGAAGAGCTTAGAAGAAATTGGGGCTCTATTTGAGGACGAGAGGGACGAGCATCAAATGCTTCTTTCTTAGCTGCAAAAACTGTTCACATTGACTGCGGGGAGCTGTGAAAGTGAGTTGGAAAATGAGTTAGGATTAAATTAGATTAATCGCTGGATTTTTTTTTCTCATTGTAATAGAAAAAAAAAAGATGTACAAACTGCATATTCAACTTTTCCAATGGGCAATTAGTTCTCAAGGCATCTAATGTCAAATGGGTTGCAAAAATGATGTGTTATTTGGATACCAACTCTTATTTTGTTGAACTATTTTATATTCAGCATTTAGTTGTGTTACTTGGATACTACTTTCTCAAATTCAAATCCCAAAATTACTAAGTAGTTAACAGTATTATATACACTAAGAGGGAGATACTTGCACAACATGTCTCATCATCAGTTCTTCGCTCCTTTAGAAACAATTTAGAAGTGATTAAGAGATAGTCAAAATTACTTTATAATATTTTACAAAACTTTTAAGTGCTTTAAATGAGAACATAATCACGTAAAGTGGTTATTTGTCCAAAAAATATCACGTAAATTAACTTTGCGGAAAAGTGCTTCTTCCTATAAGTAACTTTTTTTTTAATATCCTATAAGTAATCTTATTTCTTTAAATAATAACAAACAAGTAAAACGCTCTCAAAATTTCTTTACAAAAAAGAAAATTGAACCCTTAAACTTAATAGATGACGTTCTTCTTGAAGAATGCACTCTTTCTTGCTATTCCAATGAAACTGATATCATTTTTCCCAAAAAAAAAAGGTAAAAGAAATAAGAAGTCTTTATGAAAGAAGTTGAACTATATTCCTTATTTCCTAAAAAGAGCTTTTTGTTTGTTTTTCTCCTTTTCTTTTTATCAAATCTTTAATAGGAAACCGAATGAAATGAGATCAACCCAAAGAAAATTGAACGATATAGTAAGCCCACATGGGATATGGGATTGGGCATCGTGGCTGTGTTGCGCCGATGTTTCATTCTTTTCAATTGGGCTCGGGCCCATAACATGGGTAAATACCCATCTTGGTGAGCGGGTGGTGTCGATGACAATTCTAACTATCTCTAACAATATAACACTTGGTGTAATGTTTTTCGTGCTGGCGGGAACAATGGTGGTTGGAATGGTGTTCTTTTACTTCTTTCTGCCGTAGACAAGAGGCAAGACATTAGAAGAAATGGGGACGATTTTTTAAGACAAAGATACAACAAATGTGAATAGGGTGAGGGAAATGAGAGAGATGTAGTGAGTGTTGCTTCTATTTTGACTCTTACTATCAATTAAAATATGAGATTTGTTATATATCGTTGTATAAAGAAAAATTCAAGTTTATTTCACACGGCTTGTTTTAGGTTCGATTTCTGGCGCTGATGAATTACACAATGGTGGCTAAGGGTAGACTAAAGTGCTTCTATGAATCTTCCTGGTCACCAAAAGAGTTTTAAAAAAAATGTTATTTACACTATCGAGATTGTGTTTTAATCGTGTTACTAGATATCAACGTGAAAAAACCAACAATTAGAAGTTGCTTATAAATAGGAAGGAAGGGTGGTGGATAAATTCATAACGACATGACATAATAACATGGTCATTATTTTAGAGAGACACGTTAACGGTCCATAACAAAACCACACCAATAGTGTGGGATTTATACTAAAGTCGCTGAGTAACTTGAAGTAAAACCACACAATATAAATCACGTATAATTCTTGTATTCTTCAACAAAAATGAATAATAAACAATTCGTGCACGATGCACGAAAATTGGTGGTCAATGGAGATTGTTAATTAAGTATATCAGATTAGATTAGAACACACTAATCTCCAATATTAAACTACGTACAATTGTATAAACAGTCTGTTCACAAGTAAAAAAAGAAGAAAAGAATAAAGAAGTTGGACAAAGACAAGAGGATGACAAACAACTAAGACAAAAAAGGTTGTTCTTCACGGGTGGATAAAAATTAAAAACCCCGTGCTTGCACACGCAACTGTAACCATGCAAAATGAGTTTGATTGATTTGAGTTACTCGACATGGTAAAAATTCCTAGCAACTTTCATGAACTTTGTTTCTTTGCCATCTTGTTGTGCCTATATTTGGGTCCAAATCTTTCTTTTCTGTGATTAATTTTGAAATGCCTGTCCATATTTACCAATCAGTACCCAACAATCCATATCTTGAATGGGATGCGTTTGCCAAATTGCCAAATTTGTAACTTGGAACAATTAGCATCGATGTGAAGACCAACATTAATTGGTCATTGCCCAAAAAAGATCAACACTGTTTAGGGTTGAGCTGTTTTATGAATTAATTAAAATTAAACAGAGGTACGAATTAACTTTAACGATTGATCATCTTTTTTCAAGTTCAAATTAACGGAATTAGACAGACGTAAGTCAGTATTAGCCAAAGTGTTGCTTGTTTTTATAAATACTATACACATAAAAACTAAACCCTAAAGCTTGTTCATCTTGTTTTCAGTTAATTAACCAGAATTAGATCCAAATCAGTATGAATGATCCAAAACTTGGCTTGTGTTTATAGAAACTCCAAATAAACTTAAGATTGCAACTAAGCCCTAAAGATTGCTCATCTTGTTTCCAGTCCAAATTAACTTATTAAAGATTGTTCATCTTGTTTCGTATTAAAATTTACTCTAAGATTTGTTCATCATTTTTCGGGTTCAAATTCACTAAAATTAGACAGAAATTAGCCAGAATTAGCTAGGGTTTGGCTTGCTGAACCCTAAAGATTAATCATCTTGTTTTCAGTCTGAATTAACTAGATTTAAACACATATGAGTCTGAATTAGCTAAAACTTGGCTTGTTTTAGCGACACCACATAAATTAAGATTGCAACTTCCAATGAGGGTGATGAGTGTTATGCAAGCTTTGGCTCATAGCTTGGTTCATTGCCCTTGTCCTTTTTTATTCCAACCCTATCCCTTTGGGGCAATCGTGGAAATAATAACCACCATTTTCACCCAAAAGTCATACTCAAAATGTCAAACACTAGCCCCTCTCGCAAGTGCAGATCGATTTTTTATTTTTTATTTTGAAATTTTCAGAGCCTGGACTTTTTAATCATAAGAAGAGCATGAAAGCAAGTGTAAATGGATGAGGAAATCTATGTCGTGGCAATAAGTTTCTTCTTGTCAAAGAGCAAACTTCTACATAAAAAATGAATCCCATCTGCAGAAGACTGTCTGTTAGCTCTTGGTTGCATGGGAGCGCTAGCATTGGTAGTAAAGGTTAAGAACCTGCGCTCCCCAATCTGTACTTTAGCTGTTGGAAGCTTCTAAGACTTTGAGATCCTCTTCTTCAAATATACATACATACATATATATATATATATGTGTGTGTGTGTGTGTGTGCGTGTGTGTGTATGCCGCTAGGGTTTCTTTGTTTTAAAATTGTGACGTACGTAGTATTCAATACATGAAAATCTTCATGTTCTTTGGTTCAAGCTAAGAGTTTTAGGTCCTCTCAATTTGTCTTCTAACCAGTGGACGAATTGGAAGCAGACACGAACATGTTGACAACAGATATAAACCAAATATTCAGATTGAAAACATCAAAAAGCCCGAGAAATAATAATATTTCCCATATACAACATGGAAAAGGTGACGATATAACCTTTGTCCTCCAGTCTGAATCTCATATTTCAAACATCTCTCTCTTATGAAAATATGCATGTTACCAGGGTTGGTGGTGGGTTCCCAACCTGCATGTTTGTGAGGTTTACCACTTTCTAGGGCATTCTTTTTTATGCAACGACGTCTGCTCATAGAAACTCTTCCAATTTCAAGAGCTAAATGAGAACTTGCATATGGACGAATATATATGGTTTTGAAGAATATTGTACATACGTTGTCTGGTCTTTTGGCAAAGAAAAATTTATTATTAAAATTGTACAATGGCGGAGCCAGAGAATTTTTTATGGGTGGGCTAGCTAAAAAAATTACCCTAAAATCAAATGATTATTTTTTGTTTTGCTATATACATATTGTATGCAAAAATTTAAGTTTAACTTATGTATTTGTATACTTAAAATTTACTTAGCATGAACTCAATAAGCTTCGCATTTGCAAACCGCAAAAATTACAATGAATCATCAAATTTACATATATTTAGATGCAAACACAAGAAGAAGATAAAAAAAATTGACATCTCAATTACAATCACACAACTAGCACAAATCAAAACAACGAAAGTAGATGTAAAGGCAATCTTGAAAAAAATTGATTGAAACTAATGTAAAGCCGCTGAATCAAAGCAGAATAATCTTTAACAAAACGTCATCACAATTTCCATGATAAGTTTTATATTTCTAGTTGTGCTAAATACTCGAAGGATTAGTTTCATTAAAAAATAATTTTTCTTGCAGTTTTTTTTTGTCTATTATATTAGACTATGCACTAAAATATACATACATTTGCCACAAACTCTCCCTGAGCTACAACCCACCGTAGCCTTTGGTGTGGCTACGTCGACATAGATTACGCAAGCGGAGAACCTATTATTCAGACTTCAAAATAATACTTTATGATGAATGAAAATTCAACTTTTTTAGAACGTGGATAACAATTTTTAATCATCAATAAAACTAAACTATTAGGTACTGAGCACATAGTGCTCTCTACATGCATGGTAAGTGGTTGAATGGAGCCAGGGCTGCGCTACAAATATGTTGGCTAATGACCCTCCCATTTCCATGCTTCATTCATCTGTGTGTTTAATTAAACGTACTTACCAGCATAGAGAGCCCACTGTATATTAAGAAAAAAGAAAAGGACCAACCTGTTCTCTAATTAAAAATACGAAATGCTAGAGAGATTAAAATTTTCAATTAAATTTTACAAATTAAATGATATGGTTGTTGATAATTGGATTATCACTTAAGTGCTTACTTATTTCCTATTGGTGACACATCATTTAATTTGTAAATTTAGTTTAAAATTTTAGTCTCCCTAGTCATTAAGACAATCCATCACTTGCTAAGCCAAGAATTGATAGTATCTATAATTTCTTCATCGTGATTAATTCATGAAGTGCATATAGTTCAGTACATAGGTTTTTATTACTTCCTTGTAACATAGTCATCAATTAATCTAACTTGGAATTGGATAATGTAAACGTAACAATGTCTTGGAAAAAAAGTAAAAACTACACTAGAATGTCATGAAGCCAAATGACATCACAGATAACATTAATCATAAAACGTCTACAAGATGGAAGAGCTTGCTCGGAGAAATTGAATTCAAATTGCATAATAAACCCAAACAAGTGAAATCATGTCTCATGAAACATATACAATTATTTAGTGTCACATTCATAATTCATTCTCAAGGCAAGATTCAAATTGGTTGAAACTAAAATACAGGTAAAGAGAAAATAAAACATTATTATTACACTGGCAATATTTCACTTTTAGCTAATTTAAACTGTGAGGAGAAAGTTGGACTTGGATACAAAAGGAGATCGCATTCGTTCTAACGATTACTTTAGCATCTACGAAAATAAAATAAAATGTGGCTACGAGGTCAACAACAGGCAGTATATAATCAAATAATCAAAACCAGTGTGTCTTGTTAGATGACAAAGGAGAGGACAAAACCAGCAAAAAGTTTCCTCAGACAACTGTTAAAATATCATTTAAAACACTCCCACTTTCGGTTTCTCATGCATTTATATCCCTCTCATCCAAACTCCTCCATCTCTCTCTAAAAATTCAGTTCTCCTTCTCCATAGCTCTCTGCTAGGGCAATGGAAAACCGATTCAAATTCAAGCTCTCAAACATGTTCCGATCCTCATTCGGCTCCTGCAGGACCCGAAACTTGTCTGACGTGATCGAAAAATCCGTCTTCTTGCCTGAAAACCAGCAAGACGTGCAAACCGCTCCGCCTCCTAAACAGCCGGCAGCTCTACCGTTTCCTTCCATTTGCAGACCCAAATGCTCCGACTCAAACCAACCCGTTATCTCTATCAAAGATGTAATGCTACCAAGACGCAAGATTTTTGAAAAGTACCCTCCTTTTGTGAAACCCTTTATTCCCGACGGCCACACATGCCCTCCAGCCTCGCCGATCTCGCAGCCGTTAAACCCCTTCTACAACCACCATGAAAAAAGCTCGAAACAGAGAAAAATCAGAGACAAGAAGAAGACGAAGGCGAGGAATTCAAAGAAGAACAAATCCAACGGCGATTTTTTCCCGTTCAGTACGTCTTCTTTCGATAGCAATACCTACAGAGGGTGGTGGTCGAGCAGTGACGATGAGACAGACACTCTGTTTTCTTCAAAGAGCCACTCCTCCGGACCCCGCTTGCGCCGCCGTTCCCGGCCAAACGGGAGCAGCAGCAGCCGCAGAAGAGAGAGCTCCGACGTGGGTCTGCTTCCGTTGCAAGGAAGAGTGAAGGACAGCTTTGCTGTGGTGAAGAAGTCGAGCGATCCGTACAACGACTTCAGGACGTCAATGGTGGAGATGATCTTCGAGAAGCAGATATTTTCGGCGAAGGATCTCGAACAGCTTCTGCAGTGTTTTCTGTCGTTGAATTCGACACACCATCACAGGGTGATTATTGAGGTTTTTACTGAAATTTGGGAAGCCTTGTTTTCCAACTGGGGATCTTGAAAAAAAAAACGGAAAAAAAGAAAGAAGAAAACTCTCCGTTTTCTCTGCTTATTACTCGGTTTTCTCTGTAATATGTGTTTTCTAGTGGATTAATTATTAGTTAGAATCTAACTTAACGGAAAGATGTTTCAAGTTCGAATCTCATATTTCCGTCGATAAAAAAATTAATATGTAATTTATTTCCTTTTTCTTTCTTAGTAAAAGTGGTTTCTATATTATTGTATATTTTCTACTGATGATTTCTTGGTTTTCTTTTGTTCTTTTTATGATTTGACAGAAAACGTAAAACAAAAACAATTCGGATTTGAAAATATGAAGCAGGAAAAAAGATTGTGGAGTGGAAGTTCATTGATGCTTTTTGAAAAACAGATTGGTCGAGGAAAAAGGGTTTGAATGTTTCCATTACTTTTTTGAGTGTTGGATGACAACTTTTACAACTAGAACACTTGAAAGACGGGGAAAGCAGGTGGTTATATCACATAAAGTTGCAATAATTTTTTGTGTGGTTGGACTTTTTTGAATTTCCATGCCAAAGAAAGAATACAAAAAGATAAATCCAGATTCCAAAATCCTCTGGATAAAATGTCCTTTTATCGAACATTATTTTTGGGAAAATGATCCTCTCTGAATCTCTTCGTTTTAATCCATCAAATCAGAGAATTTATGTTATTGAAATTTGATCTAACGGTTATTTACATGGATTTACTTTAAAAGGTATAATAACTTTAATCATTGAATTAAATTTCCATGACACGAATCCTGTGATTTGGTGGATTACGAGGAATGAATCTGAAGATGATCTCTTTTCTTATTTTTGTACTACACACAGAGGCTAGCTTCTCCCTAACCTAAAAAGACTAGGGTCAACTTGAAGCTTTGGTGGGGTTCCTTTGAATCTTCTAGCGATTTTGCAAATTACAATTTTGTTATTATTTATGAAAAAGCGATACGACGGAGAAGAATCCAAAAGCATAACATTTGAACGCTCTTAAAAAGTTCAGGGACCATTTAACGAAATTTTATAATTGAATGATCAAAATAATGTATGGTAAACAATTTTAGGAACCAAAGTTATGTGTTATGAAAATTTCAGAAACCATTTTGACTAAAAAAACTTTTTTTCATGGATCACAAATTTGAATGACAAATGCGTGTACTTATCGCTTACACCATTGCCGCTGGCTTCTATTGTGTTCATATGATAATAATCCACTTGGATTCTATGTTTAGGAGATTACAAATACAAAAAATTAATTGGTGATTATTGGCACAATGCCAATGGACAAGAAAAATAAATTTGTTTGGGTTTGTTTGGAAGTAATTAGCGTTTTTAGCGAAAGTGTTTTTAAGTTTCTAAAATATTTGACGTATATTTTAAAAGAAACATCAGTTATATACTTCTTGCATGAAGTACATTTTCTAAATTTACTTGTATTTTTACTAAGAATTAATTTTAAAAGCACATTCCGTCATTTTAAATTTATTTTCAAATGCACCCTTAATATTTGCAACTTGTTATGCAAAGAGACACTATATATTATTGGGAGTAGGTGAATCTATTTTTGTTGTGCTGTCATACCACATCTGTTTAATTAATAGAATCAAATTTGATTCCTTTATTATATATTGAGAACAGAGACAAAACATAACCAGTATAGCACACCCTACCACCCTAACATCAAATCTAGTTTTAGGTTTGCAGTAAGTAGCTTCATTCCCATTCTATCCAACATTCTTCAGCATTCAAACGAAGCTTCATACATACCAAGAGATATCGATACTTGATCATCTAAATTTAAATCAATTATTTGTCTCTTAATAAATAAATAAAATAACTCGAAAGTGTGTCTCATTTGTGTTAGTTGTTTGGTTAGGAGGATCTAAATCAGTTTTAATTGGCAGACTCATAATATGAGCAAACATGAAAACTCAAAACAATGTCCCATCTTCGTAATTTGCTAATCACAGCTTTTTATTATGAACAAACATGAAAACTCACAAAAGTATTCTTCTTATATGATTATTGAAACGAATACGCATTACGCGTATGTGTTATTAGTATGTTAATGTAAATCATTAACCAGATAAATTATTGTGGTTCAAATTGATCGAACTTTACCTAAAATGGTATAACTTAGGCAATAATGTTACATGAATAGTCAATTAATTGATACATGAACGAATGTGAGGACACATTCCATTCCAAAAGGTTCTTGAAAACTGAAATGTCAAGTAATTGTTTGCAGCAGCAGCAGCTTTTCTTTTGAAAACTGATACGTCCGTTTCAAAGCTAGATAGGGCAAATGGGTTTTGCCTATTAACTAAAAATTGAAATGAAAGACAAGACACAATGGAAGGAGAAAATATAGGGATCAGAGATTTTGAAGCAAAAGTGGGGACCTTGTGGTAGAATGTGATATCTTGGAAATTCGAACCTCACAGAAAATACGGTGTTATCCATATATTTTTTATTATTTTTTATACACATTATGATTTTCAACCTTTAGATCAAATGAATAAAAAATAATTAAAAGATAAAAGTTAATAGGATATGTGTAAATAGCATCACCTTTTTAAAAATATTTTCTATCAATACTTCATATGAATAAAAATTATTAACATCTACTTATACTGTAATACATATGATGACACATCAAGTAACCAGTGTTCCAATTACGCATATAAAGTTCTCCTATTTCTCCAATGTATTTTTATTATCAAATAAAATTGGAGTGCTGAGCTCTGCAACCACAGGTTTGTCCTGTGTGTAATTACTGTTTACCCAACTTGGAAGCAATTTAAGAGAATGTCTGCCTATGCCAATGATGTTGCATTTGATGGGTGCCTACATTGGGCTAACATTTGCATTTTAATGGTCGCAGTTTTTTGGGTTACTGAACCTCATGCTCATTTTCTCCATTGGGCTAACGATTTTTCAAATCGCATGTTTTGGGTTTCTGTGCCCTATCTCTGTCTCACACATATTCTCAGGCAAATTAGTTGAGCTTTTTGGTTTGGACCGATCGTGGAAGGAGATTAAGAACTTGGACCATTTCTGCATCCAGCAAAATTGACAGGTGACAATTGAATGATTTTGGGTGGGGAATGGACCACAGTTTAAACCCCTGCAATTCCATATGTCGTTATGTTTTTGGTCAATAACCCACTCAGGTTTGAGCACAAGGACTAACCACGATGAGGAAGTTTTTCAAATACTATGAGAATAAAGGGTACATAGTCCGTTTTGAGACTGTCTAGCTTATGCTTACAAACGCTTTTGTTATTAATATTGAACACTTGGACGTGTTTCTTAAAATAGCATAGTCCGTTTTGAGACTGTCTAACTTATGCTTACAAGCGCTTTTGTTATTAATATTGAACACTTGGACGTGTTTCTTAAAATAGCACTTAGACGTGCTTATTGGAAAAACACTCGGACATGTTTCTTGAAGAAATTCCTTCAAGAAGCTTCAAGTACTTGGATTTGATAGACACTTCTCTAAAAAACAATTCTATAGCCTAGAAACGCTTTTGAATTTTTCTAGCAAATATTGTCAAGTTTTTTTTTTTTTTTTTGGTTGTAAATAACATTTTTAGCCCTTATAGAAAGTAGAAACAATCTCAATAATCTCTTTTTGAAGTTGAATGAGATAGGTTTGATTCAACAAAACTTTTGGATCAAAAGCTATCATGCATGAAATGATAAATTCAACAATCTTGATTTTGATCTTTGTTTTTTGTTTTTTGGATATATCATTATAAGTACATACATACGTAGATGCTTTAACATGCGTATATAAATGTAGAATAACATACCTACAATAATGTGCTATCCAACTAATATGCCTAAAAAATAATGAATCAATTTGGTAGTACTTGGGCAATGATCAGAAAAATTAGAATCTATGAAGGGAAGACGTTGTTGGCGTTTTGGAATTTAGGGTTTGTGGTTGGGAGTGGTTTAAGTGGAACAAAGTTTAGGGTTAGGTACCGTCATTTGTCACATGTGGTGGTTAGCCTTAAGCAGCACGGGTCTTGAGCCGTGCAAGCGCAGGCTAGGTTCTGAGGGAGACTGGTTCCAACCCTAGGACACGTGGCATGGTGGTAGTGGTCAAACCAAGTCAGTAGACTAGTAACTATCTCCATCTATACTACTAGACCTAGAGGATCAGCAGTTCTTCAGTCACTTTCACCGCCCAGCTGCTTCGCTTTGTACTCACTCTCTCTGTTCAACCAACAACCGTACTAGCTGGCATGGCAGTCTACGGTGGGTGATCTACATTGCTTTTGTCATTTGCTGGGTTTAAGTTGTTCATATATGAATATGACAAACCCTAACGCGTTTTGGGTTGATGGGTTTTCAAAATTTGCTTTTGCATGGCAAACCCTAAGGTGTTTTAGGCATTTCCACGCTCTTTGCGTTGGACTGCATAAAGGTAATGGTGGTAGACTGCAACGAAAAAACAAAAAGGGTCACTAATAGTGTCGTGCAATCGACCATTGTTCATATAGGCAACGGACGTCAGTTTGTAATGAGATTTTGACCATTGCATCTAATGATGATTTGTTAGTCCTTTTGGTTTGGGGTTATTGATAAAATTGCTATAATAGTGTTGTGCAATTGAGTATTGTGTGTCCACTACTAAATTTAGGAAAATACTAAGGAGATTAAATTTTAGATCATCTTTTATAGACCACATGATGTGACGGTTGATGATTAGACTTGTTTGTACCATACTTGACCAATCCCGAAACTACTGAGCACCAGTCAACGTTATACCATCAAGGACCCATAAGAGTTTCCTTCCAACCAGGAGGCTAATCACAGCACGACACGTGTCGACATCAGAAGCCAATCATAGCGCGACACGTGTCAATATCAGAAGCCAATCACAACACGACACGTGTCAATGTGAGAATGAAACTAGAAACTCTCTTCTATAAATAGAGATTATTCTCTCACAATATTTCCTAATGTCATTTGTACTAAATCATTCACTAGTACTCACAAAATGAGAGCTTGAACCTATGTACTTGTGTAAACCCTTCAAAATTAATGAGAACTCCTCTACTCCGTGGACGTAGCCAATATGGGTGAACCACGTACATCTTGTGTTTGCTTCCCTGTTTCTATCCATTTACATACTTATCCACACTAGTGACCGGAGCAATCTAGCGAAGATCACAAACTTAACATTTTATGTTGTACCAAAGTCCTCGCTGATTTTGTGGATCAACAAGACTCATTTTTTACTGATTTAAAGAAGAAGTTCAACCATTATCTGCCACGTCATGTAGCTTACAAAAAATAATATAATAATTTTGTCTATCAATAGTTAAATATTGAAATCTACCTCCAGAGTGCTTTTGGAGAGGACTTGGATTCTCTGCCCTCCCATTTCGGTGCCCTCCCCGTGCCCTCCTGTTTTGTGTGGTCACGGTTAATCCATGCTAACATTTTATATTGTTTTTTATAAAAATAATAAGATAAAAAAAAATAGTAATATAAAATATTGACGTGGCTTAACCGTGACCACACAAACAGGAAGGCACATGGAGGACACCGAATTGGAAGGGCAAAGAATCCAAGTCCTTTTGGAGAACCACAAGTATACTCATCGCTCGACCACGAAAGTATAAATAGACTACAAAGCTAGGTAAACCCACATCATTACAGCTAAGTAGCCGAAAAGTATCCAATGCCTTCCAATTGAGTGATTGGTGGCTGTCATACCTAATTGGTCATGAAGATTGACTAGTACATAAATTCGGAAACTACCATTTGCAAGAGCCAATTATAGAAACAAAATATAGGAAACCAAGGGAGATACAATGTCATTATCTAAGGTAAATGGTAGTTATAGTTCGTATTTATGATAATCATATATAAGTGTTACAGTTACATCGAAAAATTTCTTTGTATGCTAAAGTAGGAAAGTTAAAGAGAATCAAGTACCAATCAAATTAGCTAGAGGAGAGAATTGGTCCAACAACCACCCCGCGCCTTTCATTCTCCTAAAGCGGATACATACCAACTCGAACTTCTAAAGTAAAAGCAAAGAAATAATTTTTTTGTACAAAAAACAAGTCACCACCTTTAGCTTCAATACATCTGTCGTTTCCTCATCATATGAACCATTATCGTTGATCACGTAGAGAGAGAGAGAGAGGGGAGCGTGTGGAGACAAAGAAACATAAAGGGAAAAGCCAAAGAGAGGATTACTTCCCTTTCTCCACAGAAAGTTAAACAACCTTCCATGGCTCCTCTGATTCTATTATCTGTATGAAGAAACCCTTCCTTCTTCACTGAGATCATCACTTGCAAGAAGCCAAAAGTACTGAAAGAGAAATCTCCTTTCTCTTTCTCTCTCCCTCTCTCTCTCTCTTCAATTTTGTCATAGAGAAGGACCAACAACTCCCACTTCCATCGAAACACACCACAAGTTGCCACCAATGTTGCTTAGAAGCTCCATTTCCCACACCAAGAAGTTCTTCCAGAAAACCCTTGGGAACTTGAAGAACTTCTTCTCCGCAAGAGACTACGAAAAGCTCCCAAAATCCCCTACTCACTACAACAACCCTTTTCCCTATGCTTCTGCTTCTATTTCTGCGGTTGACAACATGAATCATCTCCACGCCACAACATACAAAGACTTGGACAAGTTGTATACCGACTTCACGGACCAATGGGATGCGAAAATCGAAAGCATCAGGGGATCATCGAACAAGAAGAAACTTCTCTCCACACCTACCAAACCACAACATCTTCATAAAGATCATGTTCAAAACCCTGCAGGCTTGTCTCCACGACCACTCAATGCACACCCTGCAGCTGCAAGTACTCCTCCTGCAAAGATTGAAACTTTTGTGAAGGAATCAAGGGCGGTGGGAACGGGTTGTTTGCTGGAACATAAGCTGAAGGAGTTGGAGATGTTGGACATGAGCAATGTGGATCATGTTTTGGACATCGAAGAGGTTCTTCATTATTATTCTAAACTCACTTGTCCTGCCTATTTAGAAATTGTGGACAAGTTTTTCATGGACATGTATTCGGAGTTTTTTGCTCCGACAGCAGCAACTCCGGCACGCAGCATCAATTCAAGCCTGCGGCCGAGGTCCGTGTGGTCCTAAACAAACTTTTGGAAATTTTAGAGATGGAAAACAAAGTTCTAGAAATTAAATCATTCCACTTGTGTTTGAACCTCTGATCAGTTCTTGCACTTTACATTGTATTCTTCTTATGTTAGCTTATGGTTGACATTTGTTTGTGTGTGTGACACCCTCTCTCTGAAATTCTGAATAATCTGATTTCTTGATTCATTCTTCTTTGATTCATACTAATGAATTTGACTTGCAATTCTGATTGTATATTTCTTCAATGTTTTAGTATTTTAGCATCATACTGAATTGGATTGATTTGGGTAACCCAAATTTTAACTTGTTGCTTTATAAAAGAAAATGCAAAAGGTAGTGGGAAAGCATATGCTGACAACGAATCTCTATTCTTCAATTTCTCTGCAATTATTTTCCACTTTTCTAGTTTGACTAAAGACTTTAACACTCCGCGAAAGCTCGTTTGACACTGCCATTAGAGCTTAAACATGTTCATATAATTAAAAGTGTTATGGCAACGATTGGAAGAATAACTCAAAACTGGATTTTAACAACACCATTTAGTGTCTTTTGGAAAATCATCAACAAGGTTATCATAACATGAGTTTATGAGTAGAAATGTTTTCTGGGGTAAACATTTTCAAACAGACCCTAACCTTTAATTCCTCATAAGACTAAGAGTGATTCTGGCTCTAAATGAATAACATATATTCTCCACAATACTGTCATAAATATCGCTCAATGATGCCTAATTTACCTATTTTTTTGTCTAATTATGCAGAACACGGTTGCAACAATTCATATTCATAAAGGCATTACCAATAGTCATTTTCTACTGGTCTATTTCTTTTCAATAATGTTGGAAGGATCTGATTTGGAATTTCCCACCCGATAACATATACAAATACATGGAAATCTGGCGGGACGAATATGGGTTGAATTTTCAGAGTTGTAAGTTGTAGCTTTAGATTATGGGCCATTTGACCAAGACAACAAAAAAATTGATGGGCTTAACATAGGATGGTGTTTCTGTTCTAATATGCCAACCCAATTTGTTTAATGGACCGGGCATCTCATCTCATTTTGTTGGTTACAGAAACATTAGCCCAAAAACTTTTGCTGGTTACAGTCACACTAGCCCAAATAACTTGAGCTGTACACGATAATTCGGTGTTTGACAATCTATTAAAAATTGGGGTGGTGGAAATCGAATTTGGGACCTCTTCCTACATCATGCAAAGAAATGCTAGACTAAGAGTTAGTTTATTAGCGTTAGACTTAAGAATGTACTAATGAATTGTTTTTTTTCTTTTACATGAGGTTAATATTGTTGATTATATGCCTAACCGTCATTTACACGAAGAAGATTAAAAAATTAAGACTAACAAAACATTTTCTTCAAAAAAAAAAAAAAAACATTTTTTTTTTCCACCGTTAATATCTTTCCACATGAAATGTTACTTTTGTAAAAAGAAAAATTTCTATATATAAAAAAGTGTGAAAATGATTTGTATTGGAAAGTTTTAAAAATAAATTGACATTTATGATTTTCCCCAACACCTCACTACGTGTACGAGCAAAAAAATGAAGTATTATTCATTCCACATTTGCAAGTGTTTTGTTCTTCTTGGCAACCTTTATAACTAAACTTATCTTGTACTAAAACAATGCGAGTCCAGCACCATGTAAACATGTTATGGTGGCTTGTAGCAAGTGATTTTGATGTCTGGGTTTTACATTGTTTCTAATGAAGAAAAAAAGTGATAGAAAAATGAGGTCCCAATGGTGCGCTGATATTGCAGAATCTTGGATCTCTCCACTAAAACTTTGGTGGAACCCAACAAATATCACATCTTTCCAAACTATCTCATGAGTCATGAATGAACCAAGTTCCCTAGCAATATGAAATCCAAAATGCATGGGAATTTTGTTCTTTCTTGGTTCAAAAGCAAGGGAAGATTCGCTTGGATCCACTTAGATTCCAAGAAGATGGGGGCAAACTATGTGCCACTGGAAAAAGTAACGAAGTGGGTTAAGTTGGACTCTCTCCTTTAAGTAAGTCTGCAGCTCTCTTTAGTCATATGCATGCTCTTTTGAAACAAAATACGCACAGTAATTAAGAAAAAAGAACCATCTTTTAACTGCTGTCTCTCTCAAAACTCTTACAGCTAGGGGTCATGAGGAATATAGAAAAGAACTTAACCTGCGGGCTTCTTGTGTCTAAATTTATGTATGATCATCAGTTTTCAATTGATAAGTATACGAGTAATTTTTCCGAGTATCTAAAACATTTTTACATGATATTATTATTCCGCTCAAAATATGACAATACCTATAAAAATTTCTTCTAGTGTACAAACTTCATGACACGATTAAAGTGCTATCTCACTTTTGACATATAGATTGGGAGGCATTTAAGTGGGGCTGTATAGCTTTCATAAGCTGACAGAAACACTTTCACACACTCTTCCAGACCTTGATCTTGTGTATAATGACAATATTGGTTTTACGTACAAGGCCGGCGGCTTTGAAAGCAAGTGTTATACATTGAGAAAACGTATCGCTTACTCAAACCAATTTTAACTATAATTGATGGGGGAATGATCTTGTAGCACTGTTTCAGATCCTATCTTCCCATGCGGTTGATATCAGCACATATATAATTGTGACGGGTGTACAAACCGTCATTCTCATAGGGCTACCAACCCTAAGCAACGTATAATTAGCCTTTGAATCGGTTGCCTGTTGATGATGTTACTGTCAGCTATGATTGTATAAGCTATTATATTGTACTAACCCTAAGTAACAGTGGCATACTCATGATTTTCAAATAATAGAGTCATAATATCAACAAAAAAGCTTCATTGAGTTATTTCGCCGAGCACCTAGTAGGTACCTGTGAATTCCTACCAACATATATCGAAATTTTATGTCAACATATGTCGATGACTACTATTACTTGTACAAGCTTGTCGAGGGTGGATGTAGGATACTGTGAAGTAATGTTAAAGACTTTCATGGCTTTTCAACTAAAACATTTCATACAAGAAGAGAGAAAATTAAGACAAATATGATAGAAGAAAATAGAAGAAGTAGGACGATGAGATCGTAATTTAGTTTGCCTTAGTTGTTTGTTGAGGTTAAATACAATATACAAGCAAATGTACATAGAGTTTTTAAAGTTATTAGAGTTGTTAGTTGTTTGTTGGTGTATAAAAACATTATATACACCTGTTGCATGTAAGAATTTCTTAGCATACATTTTAAGAGGTGTGGAGAGAGCTTTCATCGACGGGGAAAGTGGAGGGTCAGTGCAATATTTCAACTTTGGAATCCCATAGAACATGTAAAGCTATGTATGGGGATCGATGGATGAACGCAATGGAATGATTGAAGACGACATGTTGCAAGTGGTGGTCCATAATCGACGTATATATGTATAGCTAGGTAGGTAGGTATAGTTCAAGAGAAGAGCTTTAGCTAGTAAAATATAAGGTATGTACAGTTATATATGCAATTGTAAACATATATATATATATATATATATATATATATATATATATATATAATGAATATGTAGCGTGCGAAATTATAAAAGGGACGATCGATCGAGTAGTAGCAGTCTTGTCCATCTCGAAATTCCCTCATGCCTCTGACAAGTCGTCCTGTTCCTACTCACACGCCCTCGCGCCTGCATGTCTTGCTCCTTTCATCTACGTAATAAAGTGACTCTACTCTCACAAATTTAGATCCGTTTTCATGCCAACTTCTGGTGGCCTTAACAGATTTGCTTATCGCATATTTTTTAGGGTTTACTAAATTTAGTAATTTAATTAAATATAGAGATACTTTGAATGCGGTTTTTAAATACTAATACTCATTGATTAAAATCTTAGTGATTTTTAATTCTTGATCAAAATTCTTTGATTTTGTACACCTCAACATATAAATATTAATATATTTTCATATCAACAATAAAACTTGAGATTTTATGGTATTTAAAATCTCACATCTAATGAGCTATAAAAAAAAGGGCCAACAAAAAATATGAAAATTTTTTCAAAATTTTTAATTGAATAAAAAATCAATATAGCAATATAATTCCTTTTGAAAATGTATATTAATAGATGTTGTTAAGTACATGTTTGCATATATATATATATATATATGTATCAATCAAAAGTTGAAAAGGAACTACTCATTCATTCATTCATTTAATCTAATGACATGACAAAAATGGTCCTGCAGAAATTTTTAGGGTTTGCTGGCTATCAGAGAGAGAGAGAGAGAGAGTTACTTGCCCTAGCCAATAAATATTAAGGACCATGAATAATAAAGGCAGTAAATCCATCAAAATTCGACGGTCTAAATCGACCAGCATGTGCACCATGTGTTCGTACACAGAGGGAAAGCTGTGCCAAGGGTGCCTCACATATCATACGCCTGTCCATCACGTGTAACTGGACCATTTACGTCGTAATTTGCAAGGCAACTCAAAGGTGGTTGAGGGTCGGTCATGCAATGTTTAACACACAGCAACAACTATCCAGACCTTGAAAACATTAGTTTGCATACGTAATTAAAAGGAATCTAATTGCTTAAGTAAAACGATGTATTGTATGTAACAATAAAATCAGGATTGTCACTTAGTATTACAGTCTGGTGGTATTCCTCTCTATTTTGTAAGTGAGAGGTCGTAGGTTCGATTTTTGCCAAAGGCGAATTTGAACTACATTATTGCCAAAGGCGAATTTGAACTACATATCGTTTGTTAAAAAAAAAAACAAAAAACAAAAAACAAAAAAAATTACAAAATTTAGCTCATGCCTTAATGGATTAGGCGAGTCAGACTAAACGTAATATCCCAGATTGTAACTAGGGGGTTTTGATACAGATGACTAGGTTTTAAAATTTTGAGATTAAACATTTATGCCTTTTAGAGTTTTGATTAAACATTTTCCTACAATTTAGGTGCCACATGGATTAGAAGTAGCCTTTTTTTTTTATAATTTAAATTACCCAACTTGCCATTATATAAATATACCTTTTAATTCCTAGATAATACATCAAAACTCCTAAAATCTTGTAGATAAATATTGTAGAATTTAATTTCAATAAAAAGTCTTTCAAAATACCCATGAATGCGACTTGCCATTATATTTAATATACCTTTTAATTTTCTTAGATAATATCTCAAAACTCCTAAAATCTTGTAGATAAATATTGTAGTATTCAATTTTAATAAAAAGTCTTTCAAATTACACATGAAACGTAGATTTCTTCTTGGTACATATTTGATACGTTACTTAATATATCTTCTTGGTACATATTTGGTATGTTTGTTTTCTTTTTTGTATGTATTTGGTACATTTATCTTTATTAATTAATGAAACCCTCTTTGTCAACCAAAAGAGGGAGAAAAAACAATTTAGTCTTCTATCACAAAAAAAAAAAAAATGATGGGCAATAATGTAATTTCATAGATCTAAATTTTACTGTTTTTTATTGAAACCTCACTTACCGATGATGTTAAAATATCTATAATATTTAAAATTAAAAAAAAAAAAAAAACCTCCCACTCCCCCATGTTCTCTCTCCCCCCCCCCCCCCCCCCCCATTTCTCCTTCTCATTTTCTAAAACAATGTGTTCATACACACAAAGTGTGTAGGAAAATGCTTGTATTTATTTTAAAAAAAACACATATTTGATACATATATTTCCTCTTGATTAAACATATATTTCTTCTTGGTACATATTTGGTACGTTACTTTGTATATCTTCTTGGCACGTATTTGGTATGTTCATATTTCTTTTTTGTATGTATTTGGTACATTTAAATATTATTTTGGTGCGTTTATATTTATTTAAAAAAACATATTTGGTACGTTACTTTATATATCTTCTTGGTACGTATCCGGTACATTTAAATATATTATCTGAACGTACCAGCCTCAAGCCTCCAAAAATAGAGAATACGTCTAATTATCTCACATGATATCAATATAAAATAGTGAAACAACCACTAATTGAAATGAATAAGTCCATTCAAAATAAAAAAATGAGGATCACAAAATTCTAACGTGGGAGAAGGAACCATACGGCTCAAACGTAGGAGAAGAAACTGGCTTCCTAAAAAAAAGGCCACGTACAAAAATATATCAACCTAAAAGGATATATATGAAATTTAATAATTGACATTTTAAATTAAAAAAACATAATAATTACATGTAATCTAAATAAATATAAAAATGCTGACATGACTATTGTTTAGGCGTCCTAATCAAATTTCAAAATAGAACCAATGTTTAATCTAAAGAGTATTAGAAAAGTACATGGAATTCTAATTTTCCCTTGTAACATGCTTCCCATATAAACATAAAGAAAAATCAACTATTTATACGATTACAATCCCCCAAGTAAAAGCATGTAGAAGAAATTCTAGATTTTCCTTGAACCAAAGACCTTTGTAATAAGAAATATCCTGAACATAGCCAAATAGTGAGAAACTTCATAAAAGAGGGCCGGAAAAGATCCTTAATGAAAAATGATAGCATTGCTCCCTAAACTGTAGAATCTCATGAATGTATTGGAGCAAGATTGGCCGTTAGCTTGTCGGTCGGATGAAATTAATGTTGTCATTAAATTAAAATTCCAACCAAATCAGGAAAGAAAAAAAAATTGCGATCTATTAAGAAAAAGGATTCACTGGAGATTTTTTCAGGAAAAAAAAAAAATTCAATACGGGTAAGTCGGCGGGAATTCAAGCATGCATTGCTTGGGATATAAATGCTCCAGTTCATGCAAAGAGAGCAAATTGTCACATTATCTGATCATCAAAACTTTCCTTCTCTATAGCTCAGTAAGCTTTTCTTGAAAATTGACCTAGCTAGCTTAGAAGTATTTTTTTCTAATTGAAGTGTTGGAATGCTTAGTATATATAAAATGTAAGGATATAAATTACGATTGCAAAATAGTCCCCAGTAAAAGGAGTAGGAGAGTAGGACTGTTATTATATATATAATTAAGGGGACTTTAATCAAATATGTACACTATTACGGGATCTCATGGGCCATATGGCCGCCAGGCAATTATTAGTAGGGTACACTTGCTGGTCCTGTTGGGGTTTTAGAAGTTGAAATCCCTCGCAGATGTTGATACTCTCTCTCTCTCTCTCTCTCTCTAAGTTTACTACTATTATTGTCTTCATGCTGAACTTCAAGATTCAATTTGTATCATGCTTCATCAATTCCAATCGGTCGGAATAAAACCCGCCAACAACAAATCTTTAAACCCTAACTAACACCCTAAATTGTAGCAAATGTATTTGTCATTGTCCGTATCATGCGTACTGCTACAGATTTTTCTCTCATTTCCAATAATTATTTATCTTACCCTATAATTTAACTCAAGTATTTACAATATAGTTTAGTTACTAAATCTTACCATGTCAATATACTATGACTGCCAAAGTTTAGGTGTGAATAGTGTACTTTAAGTTTGACATGTTTGTTTTTGGCCTAATAAACCTTTTTGAAACTGGAAATGAAGAAATGATTCCAATTCACACCGCTTCGCCGCGACTAAGTTGTACGTTCTTTTGTTTTTGGCCTAATAAACATTTTTTAGGATTGTATCAGTCATCTTATTATCTTTATGAATTGAAAGTCGAGAGTTTTCTCAAACTATGAAGTTTCAAAAATCTTATTATCTAAGGGTGATCGTTTGTGACTCATTTAGCCTATAACTTTTGTTCTATCAGGAATTAATTGGTACTTTCCTTTGTCTCTTAATCATACAACTTGTCAACGCACAGAATAATAATTCAGATGTTAGTCATAATCACTTGCTAAGAAATGAAAGTGATCCATCCCGCCTCGATCGGTGATTGGTTCACACATATAATTTTCAACAATCAAGCATGAACGTGACTTCATATATATTCACAATATATAATTGGCATAAATGTTAGACGATCCATAAGTATTGACAAGGTGTAGTTGTGGTGGATATTCTACGAATGCTCATGAGTCATGAAGCTGCTGGTAATGGTGGTCCGAAAAATTGATAGGAAGTAAAGGCTGACTGATAAGGGCCGTATAAGGCAATAAGGATAACAGTTAATGATCGATCATCAAATATTTGCTAATTAAGATTGTATCTGTACAATACAGATTTGAGAACCTGATGATCATGATTCATGCATGAGGGCCACTTTCATCTTCATGGACATTACGGGGACCTTTTCATTTGGCGTAAAGAACTTTTCTTTTCTTCTTTTTTCCAATCACTTTTGGCTTTCTGATTAGATACTTGTTATATATATATGGTCCCTAGGTCTAAGTTCATTTGAATGTTCTCTTGTTTTTACATATATTTATAAACATATAGTGAATTATATAAAAACACAAATTAGCCCCTCAAAACTCAATTTCATAGTTAAAAACACTTTATATATATATATATAGCTCCCGGCTAACATTATTGCACATTTGGTAAGTGAGGGTTTGTTTCTATCGCTTCGTTGTGGAAATGGTTCTTGATCACTAAAGTTTATTAACAGTTTTCAGGTGTAAGACCTCGCACCACAAATTCTAGTGCCACATTTAAGAACAGTTTGGCCTTGAGTTTGAGAGCGTGACATCAAAGAGCTACACTAATTATGTATATAAGAAAACACATATCCAAAAATTATAGATAGAATTATACGAGTCTTAATGGAATATCATATATATATATATATTCTATATACACCAATCACAAATATTAACATTAAAATGCACTTTATACTTTATACTTCACATTTCACACCACCATATCATAAAATCAGTTACTAAAAATTATGAACCCTAGAAAACCAAATCTAAAAAACCCCAAGCCCTTTCTTAATTAATTAAACAGTAATCCTCCTAATATAATCCTATCTAGCAAACTAAAGTAAAAAGTGGTAATTTACAAGATGTGTACGTAGTACGTACACATTGATGATGAGAACTACGCCATCCATGATAGGTAAAGTTTCTCCTCCTCCCAAAGGCCAAAAGAAGCATTAAACTTTTGTTACATCGGCCATCCCTTCGTCTTTACTATAATAATTGAATGATTGGAAAATCTCACCTTTTCCCCCACCCTATTCCCTCCAATGGCAGCTGCATAAAGTGATCATTCACTTGTTTCTTTTCTTATAATCTTGATATTCTTCATCATCAGTAGTATAAAATATGCACGCAGGTAGTTTTACTTAATTAATTGAGCAGCAGGTTGTGGTGGTGGTGGCGGTGGCAGTGCACAAGTAGTGAAAGCCATGAAATGCGTGGCCTCAGCTTTCCAGCTATGCTCAATATCCTCTGCAATTCTCCTTGCATCAAGAGATGCACCCAGCAGACCACGTTGTGTAAACCCCACTGAGTACAACCCACATTCCCCTTTCCATCCGTTCGGGAATGGCTTCCGAGGCAACCCATCTTTTTCAGAAAACATGCTAGTTTCCTGATCACAACACAACAAAATTTCATCAATTATATATTTCCATATACCTACATTCATGAATAAATAAGATTTGTTAATTAATTAATCAAATAAAGTGGTCTCTACATAACAAAATTGATCAGTTTTTTTAATAATGTCATCGATATTTGATTTTTTCTTTAGTAATTATG